AGGAGTGTATTACTCAAGGTCCAATCAGGAGACAGAAATCGCAAGTCATTTGATAGAAAATTTAATATAAAGAATTCTTAAATATTTATAAAGCTGTTTATCAGGTAATTTAAAAGGTGATATAAGGACATAAAGGGATATGAAAGAAGAAACTGTAAGAAACATCTAACATTCTTAGGGCTGGGGGACCAGCAGAGGCAGTAAGAGATGGAGTTTTAAAAGTGTGAGAGGAATTCAGGAGAGGGAGAAATTTTTTTTTTTTTTTTTGCTAAAGTCCAATCAAAGAGTATTTTATGAAGACAGCATTTGAGCTGGGTGTAATTAAGTAGAAATGAAAGAATATTCCAGGAGTTACACGAGTTGCACATGACCCGGCAAATAGTAGATGCTTAATAAATATTTGTTGAATAGATGAAATTATGAAGGACAGTGAGCAAAATCCAGAGGGTTAAAGTATGGAAAAATTGGGGGAACCCTGCGTTTGACTGGGACTTGTGTTGTGGGAGAATGGTGGGCGGCACAAATAGAATAGGGCTGCGGTAGTTTTGAATACCGGGCTAAGGAGTTCAGACTTTATTTTAGGAAGCCAGCTCAAGTTTGAGTGGGGGAGTGACATGTTCAAAACAATAGTTTCTGGAAGGTTGATCTGTCTCTGGTATGGTGAATAAATAGGAAGGAGAGAGGAACCGAAATCATCAGAAGCCAAAAAGGATGACGTGGGTTGGGGTGACAGTAAGGATTAAAAGAGAGGGAATAGATACGAGACAAAATGAAGAGGGCCGATTGACTTAACCGCTGATTGGAGGGGAGGGTGGAGGACGAAGAAGGGAAATGGAGATCTAGGCCATTGGGAAGAATGGCATAAAGAGGAAAGAAAGGTGTAAAGAGGAGATTTTGAAGGGACAAGATAAGTTCTGTGAGGGCCGACTAGACACCCTAGCGCATGCAAGGTGTCGGCCCTGCAGGTCTGCGGCTTCGTGGAGTCCGGACAGGAACTTGGAAGTCATCTGCGCGATTCTGGCTGAGGCCTGTCTTTGGGAGAAAGCAAGAGCATCTCAGAGTATGTGAACCCAGAGCCGGCCCGCTGGCTAGAAGCTGAGGCTGCACTGCCTGCCGATTTACAGTTTTCACCTGGGCTAGCCTGCATCAACTAGGAAGAGGACGATTCTCACGTCTATACTGCCTTAAAGCACTGGCCTCAGGGAGCGGAGGACGCCCGAGTTCTTCCCCCTCCGACGGCTTTCCCAAGGCGGGACAATGAGCGCCTAGGGCTGCCGAGCGCGAGCTTCCTGGGCGGAGGCGCGCGTTTCCCTGCGCGCGCAGGCGCGGCCCGGTGTCGCCTAGCGACCAAGAACAACAGTGGCCCAGAGGCGCGCGCCGGCCGCGGCGGGTGCAGTTCTCCAGGTCGGAGGAGCCGCTGCTCTGAGGCATCTCCTGGCAGGTAAAGGCAGGCGTGCGGCTGCGCAGCTACTCCCGCGGTTTGGAGAGGCCCAGGGCCGAGGTCCCAGCAGAACTTGGGCAAGGAGAAGGTGCCCCGCGGGTGGGGACATCTGGGGCTACTGAGGGAACACCTTGTAGGGGTTGTCGGTCCCTGCCCTATGCCCGCCGTATTAGACGGGGGTCGGGGTGGGTTTCATGAGCATCCCGGACGCCTTCCATTTAACAGGTGACAAAACTGAGGCCCGGAGAGGGGATCTGAGGATCTAAGATGCCGTTACTTGACTCTCAGCAACTCAAGAAGCGAGTCCCCACTTGTTCTAGCCTTCCTCCTCCCCCTTCAAGTTTTCTCAAGAAAGATCTCCCCATTGGCAAACATTTAAGGTCGCGTAGTGTGAAAGTTCACCAAGAAGTACAAATGATTGATACATTTGTGGGGGAAAAATGTGGCTCCTCTCTAATAACCGAGAAGATGCACATTTAAAGCAGATTTGTTTTCGTACTCAATGCCGTGAAGTTCATGCCTTTTCATCCAGTTATTTTACTTTATCTTAAAGAAGCAGTTGCGGAATGTGGATGAATATTTTATGGCTAAGGATGTTCATTGTAGCCTTATCCGTAATTTCAGGAAATTGGAAACAAATGCTCAACAATAGGGGACTGTCTAGATAAATAGTGGACTTTACAGTATTATTTTAAATGACATGATATCCTGATTCATTGGAGATGATTGGAGCAATATATGGAGACTGAGCTCCCATGAACTTGTCCATTAGTTTAAGAATATAGTAGGAAAATGGTTCCAGGAAGGGAAGTTGAGAATAGGGGCTAGAAATCCAGGTAGGATGGTAAAATCACTATAGAAAACACACAGAAAAGGAACTATATTGAAATAGTGCTGATCTCCCTGAGTTTTTTCCTGAGTGATATATATTTTTTTAATCTGATGTGCCCTTCCTTGTTTTCCAAGTTTTCTGTAATGAAATGTATTACCTCTATAAGTGGACAGTAGACACAGAGCTATACACTTAAATATGATTAAAATGGTAAGTTTTATGGTATGTTTATTTTAGCACAATAAAAAAACATCATTGGGCAGGTGGTAAAAGAGTCAAGGAAAGTAGGTTTGCTTCAAACAGTCAAAGGTATTTATTTTCTTAAGTTGACATCTCTGAAGCTTTAAAGGAAAACACATTTTTAAAGAATAAAATAATATGAGGTAATTTGGTTGTATCATGTTGCTTTTAAGTGAAATGTTGAATTTACAAAGTTAAAAAAAAAAACACCTTAGGGTTATCTTTGAGGCTCATTGCCCCTGGTTCTTTGTCAGTTGTATACTTTCTCCTCCATTAACTATTATGCTCAATTTGGCAATAGAAACACAAACTAAATGCTTCTTACTTCACGGTATTGCCTAGGATCAGCTCCATTGCTATAATCCTGTGTTAAGGATGTTCCAACCTCTGTACTCTTCAATATGCAATTATTCAAAGCCACTATCCTGAAATGGGAAAAATAAGTTTCCGAGTGAAAATCAGATGACCTACAGTAACTTTGTGTAGGTGTAATTCAGTTCCTTCTCAAACGTTATTCATAAGCAGTTCTTAAGTAAATCAAAGGCTGCTGTATCTTGGAATTGGTTGCAAAGAGCTTTGAAATTTCTTTCTCCTAGAGATTAGTCATAGGATAGATTTTCATTTGTTTAGAATAGTTTCTATGCATCTGCTTGGAATATTATAGACACAAAGTCTAGGGTCTGTGCTTTTTAAGTATCTATGAAAGATGTTTGAATTTTGAAAAAAATAATGCCTCTAAAATCTGAAAAGAAAATTGAAAAATGAATGTTAAATGTTTTTTATTAATATTAAATTACGTTTGAAAACAATTTTCTCATTTTGTAAGAATTTCCAGGTGTACAAACTGCTGAATAATTTCAAATGCTTAATTTCAAAACTTTTTATGATGAAAATTGTATTTAATAGAGAATGTGGGTACATTTTAATGTTGAATATATTGGATATAATGTGAGGTAGTGCATCACAGCATAAACTTGCCTAGGCCCTCAAAGATCTTGAAATTTATGTGACCTGAAATTAGGGACCTGGATGTCTGTCAGAAGTCCCTAGGAGTTTCTATGAACATGTGGCTTTTTAAAATATGTGATAAATTCTGGTCAGTGTCTCTAATGCTAGGAGTTGCATTTGTGCCTTGACATACTATCTGAACTAACCCTGATGTAGATTCTCTGCAAGGATTTTCAACTTCCCAGAATTTCTCTGGAAACTATAGTCATTTCCTCAAGACTAGTTTATAGCATTTGAGATTGTGCAAATACCAAGCATAAACTCTCATTGGAGAAAATTCAAGAGATTTCTGGGGTTATTCTAACAGTCACCAACATCTTGGAAAGATCTCTGTACCCAGGTGGAGTTACTCCTCTGTGGTGTATCAACTATGAGTACCAATGCTTTGACATTTTTCCTGCACACGCATTTTTCCTGCACATTTTTCCATACAAAGGCAGGTGGGAAAGGGTCTTGCAAGCAATAACTCCAATTTCCCCAGAATACATCTCTTTAGATTCTCAATTACTTTTTTTTTTAAAGATTTTATTTATTTATTTGAGAGAGAGAATGAGAGAGAGAGCACGAGAGGGAAGAGGGTCAGAGGGAGAAGCAGACTCCCCGCTGAGCAGGGAGCCCAATGTGGGACTCGATCCTGGGACTCCAGGATCATGACCTGAGCCGAAGGCAGTCGCTTAACCAACTGAGCCACCCAGGCGCCCTCTCAATTACTTTTTTAAATGAGCTATGGATTATATTAGAGAAAACTTTTGGTTATCTGGGAAAATGACACAAATGTTAGTTTGGAGTTGGTTATGTCTTGGGTATCATTCATAAAATCATACTCCCAGGAAAAACAGTTAATGATTTTTATAAATATCAAATGCCTATTATGTACCAGACACTGTCGGGTTAGATCAGTGCAGAAAGCAGACAAAATCCATCCCTTTGTGGCAAAACATTCTTGGAGATCTCAAAAGTAACTTGGATTTAGTCTCCCAAGCCCTCCATAAGTGAGCTGTAAGCATGGTAAACTGTTTCCTGTTATGTAAGTAAAAGTTATGTCACTAATGTATTCTCTTTCTTACGAGCTGTAAGCCAGACTAATGCTCAACAATCTTATCAATAAGTTCCTTAAAATTTGAGGATTTGAAAAGGAATGTAGGTAATATATTTGTACGTGTACAATAATTTCTACAAGTACTGCATAGTCTCTTTTTAGGTAAAATCAGAATAAGGAAATGAATCTCCTTCTAAGGGCATAGGTAACTGAGAGATTTGTACATCGTATATACGATGTACAAATGACAATTTTTTTTTTTAAGTGGGCTCTACGCGGGATCTGAACTCACAACCCTGAGATCAAGACCTGAGCTGAGATCAAGAGTCAGATGCTTAATCGACTGACCTGCCCAGGTGCCCCTTTACAAATGACACTTTTAACTATTTATTGCATCTTTTTCCAGAATGGGTAAAAAGATAAAGAAGGAAGCAGAACCTCCTCCTAAGGATGTGGTAAGTTTCTAATTTGAATATTATAGTAGCACATTAACAACCAGTTTTAAAAATAAATTGTTCAAACAGTTTGGCACATACCAGTATATACATGAGTACACAGTGGCAGAAGTCCAAAGTCTGACTAATGATAAGATTAGTTAGAGAAATCTAACATTATATAAACAACATTTACAATGTTGTCATTACATAATTAGCACAATTAGAGAGTAATTATTAGCTTTTCCAGTATGTGGATGGCATGTTTATAAGCCTAGTTAATGAACAAATAGTTTTGGTTTGTTCTTTTAAATATTTTAAATTTATATTTGCCTGTCTGTCATTAATGTTAATCATCCAAGTGAATTTTCAAAATTAACTAGAGTTTATGCTATAGCTACTAGATAGGTATATAAGGCTGTCTGAAGACAACCACTTGGACATCAGGAGTCTTGTATTTTCCAGTTCTATGGAAAGAAAAGTGTGGGTTCATCTTTTTCTATTCCAAATATTTGAGTAATGCATTGCCTACAGCACAAAACCCTGTCTCTCTTTTAAAAGCATGGTTTTATCTTATTTCTTTAGAGTTTATGAACTACCAAAAGATTGTGTTAAAAATAGAAAATGAACTTGGACAGTTTTCAGTTTAGAAACTTATTTTGAAACAGACATTTGGTGTAATTTTCTTCAAATGATATGCAAATTAAAAAAATGCTTAGAGTCAGTCAATAGACTCATAGGATTTTATAGTTTGAAGGAGGTTGAGCTTAGTGCAGTATCTTCCCAACACCACTGGAGCTGTGTGGTTACAAATGTGAGCTGTGTCCCAGCTCTGCCTCTCATGAGCTGTGTTATTTGGCACAGTTGCCAAATGTGGCTGAGTTATTTCAGGTTAAAAAAAAAATCTTCAATGCAAATTGTAATGTCCAATTCATTTTGGTTGTTGTATGAATTAAAATGAAATAAAACACATCAAGTTTTCAGTACCTGGCACACAGTTAACACTGGTAAATAAGACCTATTATTATGAGACTCCTTTAGACTCTGACACACACACACACACACACACACACACACGCACGCACGCACGCACGCACCCTTATGTAACTTCTTATGTATGATCCTTCAGTACAGTTGGGAATAAAGACTGCAGAAACATCTGTCTGCCCAGGTCTAGGAAAGCTTTGCAGAGATAGATGATTATTGTGGTTCATGATGCATTTTCATCATTCTAGTTGCTCTCCCTTTGGACATACTCCTAAAACATTCCAAAATCTCTCTCTTTTTTTTTTTTCCATTGCATTCTAAGTTTGCATTACTACTTTTTATTGCAAAGTAGCATTTTTTAAAAAATTTTATTTTTTTAAAGATTTTATTTATCTATCTATCTATCAGAAGGGGAGAGAGAGAGTGAGCATACAGGTGGACGGAAAGAATCTCAAGCAGACTCCCTGCTAAATGAAGCTCCCAACAGGGACTCCATCCCAGGACCCTGAGATCATGACCTGAGCCTAAATCAAGAGTTGGACACTTAACCGACTGAGCCACCCAGGTGCCCCAAGATTTTATTTTTACGTAATCTCTACACCCAACATGGGGCTCAAGCTCACAACCCCAAGATCAAGAGTTACATGCTCCATGGACTGAGCCAGCCAGATGCTCCACACAATAACGTTATTGACGTCTTATTACCGGAAAGGGGACTAAGGAAGATAGAACTTGCCGACAAAGACTGTCTAATTACAATTGGGATGAAGGGACTACTAAGCAATAGATATATTTGTCTAATACACTTTCTATAATTTTGCAACATCTTGCTTGCATTGTCCTCTGTACTCCAGGCCTCACGGGACACAATCAAGGACTTGAGAAACAGTTTTAATCCTAGTGTTACCAGAAATCTAGCAGTTCACAACAGGCTTAGGGACAGCCAAAGCATGTGTAATGGCCAGTGTCAAAGAAATTACTGCCTATGTTTTCTCCTGGGAGTTGTATGGTTTCAGGTCTCATATTTAGGTCTTTAATCCACTTGAGTTTATTTTTGTGTATGGTGTAAGACAGTGGTCCAGTTTCATTCTTTTTCATGTGGCTGTCCAGTTTTCCCTACACCATTTGTTGAAGAGACCGCCTTTTCCCTGTTCTATATTCTTGCCTCCTCTATTCCGTTCCATTGATCTATGTGTCTTATTTTTGTGCCAGTACCGTACTGTTTTGATGACTACAGCTTTGTAGTACATCTTGAAATGTGGGATTGTTATAACTCCAGCTCTGTTCTTCTTTCTCAAGATTGCTTTGGCTATTTGGGATATTTTGTGGTTCCATACATATTTTAGTATTATTTGTTCTAGTTCTGTGAAAAATGTTGTTGGTATTTTGATAGGGATTGCATCAAGTATCCCTCCATAGATGAATGGATAGAGAAGATGTGGCATTTATATGTGCAATGGAATATTACTCAGCTATAAAAAGAATGTGATCTTGCTGTTTGCAACAATATGGAAGGATCTAGAGGGTATAATGCTAAATGGAGTAAGTCAGACAAAGAAAGACAAATGCCTAATGATTTCAGTCATACATGGAATTTAAGAAAAAACCAAATGAACAAACAAAACAAGAGACAAACAAAAAAAGCATACTTTAAATTCAGAGAACAAACTGGTGGTTGCCAGAGGGGAGGTAGGTGGGCTATGGATGAGATAAAGGGGATTAAAGAGTACACTTATCTTAATGAGAACTGAGAAATGTATAGAATTGTTGAACCATTATATTGTATACCTGAAACTATTTTAACACTGTATGTTAATTATACTTTAAAAAATATAGAGTGAGACCAAAAAAAAAAAAAAACAAAAGGCATGCTACAGTTACCGGTGGTCCTTGACTATTACCTTTCCCCAAGGTCCTTCCATTCTCCCCCTACTCTGACTTTTGGTTAATAAAGCTGATAGATTAGTGTGAAAGTATGTAACCACTTTCTATCTTACAAATTCAAATACTTCAAAACAGTATGCCACAATTTAAACTATCTGAACTTGGAATTTTTTCCAAGGTGTACCTCTTCAAAGTCTACAAAAGTTTTCTTGTACAAATTTTAAAGGAAAACCAAATTTAAAAGATGGATATACAACCGCTTAAGAAAATAAACTTTCCTGTGTCAACTAATAACAACTTCCTTATAGAGTTCCTAAAAACATTATTTCCAAAGATTTGTATTTTTATTAGTCTTTCATCTACTATTTAAAATGGGTTATGGGGACAGAAAGAAGAACGTTCAGTTATATGGTCAAAACAAAAGCTCCCTTTGCTTTTCTTAATTTTCTCATTGTCAAAGCATACATTTAATATATGCCTATATGGTTTATTGACCTCCATTCCTTCTCATGAAAGTGACCACTAGCTAAGAAGATGCTTGGATGTGGGGGAGATATAGCTTGAACGAGCAGTGCAACTATATTCTGCCTCTCCACATCATTTCTTTCTTTTTTTTTTAATATTATGTTATGTTAATCACCATACATTACATCATTAGTTTTTGATGTAGTGTTCCATGATTCATTGTTGCGTATAACACCCAGTGCTCCATGCAGAACGTGCCCTCTTTAATACCCATCACCAGGTTAACCCATCCCCCCACCCTCCTCCCCTCTAGAACCCTCAGTTTGTTTCTCAGAGTCCATAGTCTCTCATGGTTCATCTCCCCCTCTGATTTCCCCCCCGTTCATTCTTCCCCTCCTGTATCATCATCATCATCATCATCATCTTCTTCTTCTTTTTTAACATATAATGTATTATTTGTTTCAGAGGTACAGGTCTGTGATTCAACAGTCTTACACAATTCACAGCACTCACCATAGCACATACCCTCCCCAATGTCTATCATTTCTATGTCTGGCTGAAAGGTTGTTTGTGATGCTTTAAATAAAAAGCAAACTTTCTGTGGAGTGATTGCATAAGAGAGTTACTAGCAAATGACCTTAATAGACAATATTTAATATAAGGCAAGATATTCAGTGACTAAGAATATAGGCTCTGAGTTATACTACCAGAAACTGAATCCTTACTCAATCATCCACCATTTATGATCTGGGGCAAAGTTCCCAACCTCTGTACACTCCAGGGAGGATGAACTGATATCCACTTCGTAACTATTCACAGCAGTGAGGCAAGGTTAGATAAATATAAGATGCTTAGAACCGTGCTTGGCACTAGGTAAGAACTTAGTAAAAGTTGTTATTTTGAATGATGTGGTTGAGGGTGCTCTTCATCACTCTATAAAACTTTAGAATTTTTATGAATTGTCAAAGGAGGCAGGGAGATCAACTGTGGAAGACCAGATGGCCACTGAAGTTCCTGGTGGCCTGGGGTGTGGCTGACATGATTCACGGTCAGGTCTTCAAGTTTATGAGCATGGAATGTTTATTTTCTTAATATTTCAGAGGAAATCGCATTTCAGTGGATAAATCCACAGCATCTAAACTCATAAGGGACTATGGTTCTGGAATCTCAGTAAGTATCAAGTTACCTGAAGATTTATGTTAATGGGTCAGCACCTTCTCTTCGTGGTTCAGTGCATCTGGGGGAGCTGAGCTCCATGAGTATTGAGTCAGAGCAACAGGCACTAGCAGAACCTGCTCCCTCACCTGGGCAACCAAACCCAGTTCCTTGCAGGAGTGGGATGTCTCCAGGGTCTTGTTTCTCCAGGATGCTTTCATCAACCTCAGAATGCAACCCTTGACGCTCTGTCACCTACTGCCAAAACGGACTTATTTCAGAAATGAAGCTTCATGGGAATTTATTTTTCTGTCTTTCGTTCTCATCACAGATAAACAAAATGTAATGACTTAATGAAAATTAGTATAAATTCATAAACATACACAAAACTGTATAAACAATTATCAGCTTGCTTACCTGGCTCTAAACCTTTATTTTAATTCAGGTCATAAAGAAGACTAGAGACCATTTTAGCTGTTTTCATTTTAATTTTTACACTTTTTAGCAGATTTTAACTGATGTCTAGATGT